GATCTACATATAACCTCCTCCCTGGGGGATGGACAACAGAAAAGTGGGTGAAGGGAGACATCGGACAGTGTAAGACATGACAAAATAATAACACAAATTATCAAGGATTCATGAGGGAGGGGGGAGCAGGGAGGGGAAAAAAATGAGCTGATACCAAGGGTTCAAGTAGAAAGCACATGTTTTGAGAATGATGAAGGCAACAATGTACAAATGTGCTTGACACAATGGATGGATTTATGGATTGTAATAAGAGTTGTACAAGCCCCCAATAAAATGATTTTTAAAAATTAAGTATGAGGGACCTGATAATCATTATCACTGACAGGAGCGTACTGGTGCAATGGCTTTGAAGAGTACAATGCTCGTGCCTATCACAATATTAATTCTTTTAATCCTTTGACCCGGGAATTCTATTGTATTTGCACACGTTCAAAATCACCTTCCTGGTACCCAAGCCAAAAGGGAACTGATGGGAAGTTTTGCTTTAAAATGTTACTGGACAAGTGGAATGGAAAACAATGGCGTTCCCCCACCAATTTGTTGATGCTTCCTCATATGCAATAGAACACTAAGCTGCAAAAAATAATAAAGCAGACCCGTGTGGTGGTAAAGACAGCTTATTGTGCAAGCCTACGGAAAGAGGGCAAAGGACAGATACTGTTGAAAAGGCCTCTGACTGCCTGGCCAGGTCAGTCTGATATAAATAAAGCAAGTGGTGCTTAAGATATTCCAACTACTCACGGGTCCTGATTAACGTGGGCTTGTAACTCACTCCCACTGACTTGCATGAGACCCAACTACATTCTACCAGCTGTTAAATTTCAAAGAGGCTCAAACAGAGGCCATAGATACCTTTTCCTAGGTATTAATTTATGAAGACCAAATAAGAATCGATACATTTTAATTATGGCGCTGGCAAAGAATGCTAAAAGTACCACAAACTGCCAAAAGAACAAATAATCTGTCTTGGTAGAAGTACAACCCAAAGTCTAGCTCTTTGGAGGTAGGAATGGCCAGACTTTGCTCATGCACTTTGGACATGTTGTCAGGAGAGACCAGTCTCTAAAGAAGGACATCAAGTGTGACACAGCAGCAGGGCAGTAAAGAGGAAGGCCCTTGACAAGATGGACTGACACAGTGGC